GAACTGATAGACTGAACTAGAACTGAACTAGAACTCAACTAGAACTAGAACTGAACTAGAACTGAACTAGAACTGAACTAGAACTGAACTAGAACTGAACTAGAACTGAATTAGAACTGAACTAGAACTGAACTGAACTGAACTAGAACTGAACTAGAACTGAACTAGAACTGAACTAGAACTGAACTAGAACTGAACTAGAACTGAACTAGAACTGAACTAGAACGAACTAGAACTGAACTAGAACTGAATTAGAACTGAACTAGAACTGAACTAGAACTGAACTAGAACTGAACTAGAACTGAACTAGAACTGAACTAGAACTGAACTAGAACTGAACTAGAACTGAACTAGAACTGAACTAGAACTGAACTAGAACTGAACTAGAACTGAACTAGAACTGAACTAGAACTGAACTAGAACTGAACTAGAACTGAACTAGAACTGAACTAGAACTGAACTAGAACTGAACTAGAACTGAACTAGAACTGAACTAGAACTAGAACTGAACTAGAACTGAACTAGAACTGAACTAGAACTGAACTAGAACTGAACTAGAACTAGAACTGAACTAGAACTGAACTAGAACTGAACTAGAACTGAACTAGAACTGAACTAGAACTGAACTAGAACTGAACTAGAACTAGAACTGAACTAGAACTGAACTAGAACTGAACTAGAACTGAGAACTGAACTAGAACTAGAACTGAACTAGAACTGAACTAGAACTGAACTAGAACTGAACTAGAACTGAACTAGAACTGAACTAGAACGACTAGAACTGAACTAGAACTGAACTAGAACTGAACTAGAACTGAACTAGAACTGAACTAGAACTGAACTAGAACTGAACTAGAACTGAACTAGAAACTGAACTAGAACTGAACTAGAACTGAACTACGAACTAGAACTGACTAGAACTGAACTAGAACTGAACTATAACAGAACTGATCTAGAACTGAACTAGAACTGAACTAGAACTGAACTAGAACTGAACTAGAACTGAACTAGAACTGAACTAGAACTGAACTAGAACTGAACTAGAACTGAACTAGAACTGAACTAGAACTGAACTAGAACTGAACTAGAACTGAACTAGAACTGAACTAGGAACTGAACTAGAACTGACCTAGAACTGAACTAGAACTGAACTAGACTGACTAGAACTGAACTAGAACTGAACTAGAACTGAACTAGAACTGAACTAGAACTGAATTAGAACTGAACTAGAACTGAACTAGAACTGAACTAGAACTGAACTAGAACTGAACTAGAACTGAATTAGAACTGAACTAGAACCGAACTAGAACTAGAACTGAACTAGAACTGTACTAGAACAGAACTAGAACTAAACTAGAACTGAACCACATCTGAACTCTAGTCTACAGACTAGACTGTATAGTGTTGTCTATAGTCTGGATTTTAGCAGTCTAGTCTATAGTCTCGACTAAAGTCTAGTCTGTAGGCTTTTTTGTTACTCTATTTCTATTATTTATATTCTACAATTTGTTGCAATTATTATTACTATGTTTGTATTTTCTTAAAGAACCAGTAAATCTAGCCAAGTTATTTCCTGTATATACAAAATAAATAAAATATATAAATGGGCAGAAAGAAAAACAAACTGATTCACATTTTTTTCAGTTTAAAACAAAAAACAACTATTATATATAAGTTAGTTGTTGTTGTTGTCTGGCCACAACAAATATTCTTTTTATTTAACACTTTAATACAAAAAAAAAACAGAAATAAAAGTAGAAAGATATAAAAAAAAGGCTGGAAAAAAATAAAGCAAGATGAATAATATCATGCCGCATATAGATATTTCTGTATTTTTTTTACAATTTCATTCTTTTTTAAAGACATCTTTAAATGAACGTGTTTTGCAAAAATTATGCCATGTTTACACTTGTCTCGTATATATTCTATATAATAATATGTTTTTTTTTCACATATTTTCTTATATTTATTATATTCTATACAGTCATAAACCTCATATTCATTGTTTATAATATTGTATACAATATATGACAACAACAAAAGAAAATAAAAACTGACTATCTGGCCGACTAAATGTTTGACTGACTTCAACAGTTAATAAGTATTCAACAATATCTTATTGTTTTTATGGCTCTATTTTCGTTCTTTACTTTTTTTGTTGACATTTTAGATAAAAAAGACGTATTATGTGTAAACATTTACAATATATATAATTTATATTTATAAATCTTAGCGAATAATGACTTAATGAAGAATTTTTTTTATTTTGAAATTTATGAAAAAAAAAGACTTTATACTATAGTCGAGTCTATAAAGCAGATTTTAGGCGAAACTATAGTCGATCAGATTATAGAGTAGTCTCTAACCGAGACTGTAGAATAATCTTTAGTCGAGACTTTATTCAATAACATAGACCAGACCATAGGCCAGAATAAAGTCGATACTTAAGACTATAGTCAAGACTATAAAGTAGACTTTAGACGAAACTATAGTCGATCAGATTATAGAGCATTCTATAGTTTAAATTCTAGACTATAGACTAATCTATAGTCAAGACTATAGACTAATCTATAGTCAAGACTATAGACTAATCTATAGTCAAGACTATAGACTAATCTATAGTCAAGACTATAGACTAATCTATAGTCAAGACTATAGACTATAGTCAAGACTTTAGACTATAGTCAAGACTATAGACTATAGTCAAGATTATAGACTATAGACCATTATTATGATTATAGACTAATCTATAGTCGAGACTATAGACTAATCTATTGTCGAGATCAAATACTAATCTATAGTCGAAACTAAAGACTAAAAGTAGTCTAGACTATAGACTAATCTGTAGTCGAGACTATAGACTAATCTTTTGTCGAAATGAAATACTAATCCATAGTCGAAACTAAAGCCTAATAGTAGTCCAGACTACAGACATATCTATTGTCGAGACCAAATACTAATCTATAGTCGAAACTGAAGACTAATAGTAGTCTAGACTATAGACTAATCTGTAGTCAAGACTATAGACTAATCTATAGTCGAGACTACAGACTAATATGTAGTCGAGACTATAGACTAATCTATAGTAGAGACTATAGACTAATCTATAGTCGAGACTATAGACTAATCTATAGTCGAGACTATAGACTAATCTATAGTCGAGACTATAGACTAATCTATAGTCGAGACTATAGACTAATCTATAGTCGAGACTATAGACTAATCTATAGTCGAGACTATAGACTAATCTATAGTCGAGACTATAGACAAATCTATTGTCGAGACTATAGACAAATCTATTGTCGAGATCAAATACTAATCTATAGTCTAGACTACCGACTAATCTATAGTCGAGACTGCAGACTTATCTATGGTCGAAACTATAGACTAATCTATAGTCGAAACTAAAGACTAATAGTAGTCTAGACTATATACTAATCTGTAGTCTAGACTATAGACTAATCTGTAGTCGAGACTATAGACTAATCTGTAGTCGAGACTATAGACTAATCTGTAGTCGAGACTATAGACTAATCTATAGTCGAGACTATAGACTAATCTATAGTCGAGACTATAGACAAATCTATTGTCGAGACTATAGACAAATCTATTGTCGAGATCAAATACTAATCTATAACCGAAACTAAAGACTAATAGTAGTCTAGACTATAGATTAATCTGTAGTCGAGACTCCAGACTAATCTGTAGTCGATTATAGTCGAGACAATAGACTAATCTATAGCAAAGACTAAAGACTACACTATAATCGATATTATAGACCCCATTTTAGTCGAAACTTTAAACTATAGTTGAGACCAGTCTATAGCCGAGACTATAGTTAAGATTATAAACCAGACTGAAGTAAAGACACTAGACTGTTAAGACGATAGATTAAACTATAAACAGATTACAGTCTAAAGTTTAGAAACAAATATAGAGACTAACTGAGAAATACTCATAAGTGTTAAACAAATGTAACAAAATATATTACTTCCAACTCAATAACTTTAAGTAAATTACTATAACCGGAGGCATTAGTGAAAGTTTCTTGATCTTTTAAGATACTTAGGGACTTTATGGCCCTATGCTTGCTAGCCTATTTACATAATAAGTACTAAACGATGAATGAATAAATACTAACTAAATATATAAAATAGTTATTTCTTAGTTTTGCTTTTTTCTGTGTCGTTTTCAGGCGATAATAATCTGAAACAAAGGTGAAGTCATTAACTATTTGTAAGCTTCAAGTACTCGTATTATATACAATTAAACACACACACACACACACTTTTGTATGTTAGGAAACAGATGTAGTCGTATTATCTGGCCTTATATACAACATTTTATTATTATTTTAGTTGTTTGCTTAGTTTTTTTTTCTTTCTTAATAAACATTAATAAATGAATTGTTTTTTAAACAATATACTTGCATTTATTTAATAGCTACGTTTGTTTTCTCTGTTCAGTGATAAGATATTGTTTTTTTATGACTTTTTTCTCTCTGTTTTACAAAACATTTGTTTTGTTTACAAAAAAACGTGATAAAATTCTTACTTCATTTGTATAATTTTTGCCATATTTCATTTGTAATTTTGTTTTTTTATCTAGATGCTACTCGCCATAAATAATATTTATGCAAAATTATAGTTGAAAAATAAAAAAACAAACAACTTAAATAAGTTGTTTTGTAAAAAAATTGAAAACCAATGATTGTAAATAATTTCCAGTTAATTAAATGTCAATTAAATTGTATGTTTCTATATAAATATTATTAAAAACCACATTCCAAGACGTTTAATTAAATTAACAATATAGTCATTACAAAAACGTATAAAAAAATATGCAATTCCAGGTAAATTTGCAAAATGTTTACATTTTGAGGCTTTTGTCAAATTTTATAGTTATTTAAGTTGCACAGTAGGCATCACTGTTTTCTTCTTTTTGCTCTAAAGGTTGCCACCTGATTTAGTAAATGTTACTCTATTTTCTTATCCACTTACCGGCACAAAATGTGGTAGATTATCCAAAACTTGCAACTTATCAATACGCTGCTTAATTCTCTCTCTATGATGTGGATTCTTAATACCAATCGCTGTTAAGTCCTCCGGTGTCATACGAGCAATTGTGGGTAAATCATAGCCAGCTGTTATAAACAATTGAGCATATTCTTCATATTTCATTTCCATTAGCCAATCAATGATTAATTCCTCATTACGTTGACGATCCATCGAACCAATCGAACATGAACTTAATGAACTGCAACGGGGCGAAGAGAGAGCACCACCACCGCCACTACTGCGTATGGAACCGGCTCCCGAGACACCGGTTAGATATGATGAAGCACGACCTGAATCTAAACTAGCGGTTGAATGACGTGATCCAGAACCAGCTGAACCAGAGGAGGAACCGGGTGAATCACGACCCGGTGATTGTGTTAGATCGATGCCTTGATCCTCTTGCAGAGCCAGCTGCTGGTGGTAATAGACAGCCGCTTTATGTGTTAGAGGTTCACGTAAAGTGGCACAAAAGACTGGCGGGGGACATGGCACTAAAGAGGGTGGACAAGAGCCCAGCAAAGGATTTCCTGCGGCAGCTGCTGCAGTGGCTTGTGCGTTCTTAGAGGCGGCCGTAGCCGTGGCCGAGGTTTGTGATGAGCCTGAGGTTGACATGGCTGATGAATATTCGTTTATTTCATCTGAAAATGGTTAAAAGCATAGTCTGTATTATATGATCATATCCAGTGAACTAGTCCAGTTATCATTCAGTTCAAGTTCAGTTCTCGTTCAGTTCTAGTTCAGTTCTAGTTCAGTTCTAGTTCAGTTCTAGTTCAGTTCTAGTTCAGTTCTAGTTCAGTTCTAGTTCAGTTCTAGTTCAGTTCTAGTTCAGTTCTAGTTCAGTTCTAGTTCATTCTAGTTCGTCTAGTTCAGTTCTAGTTCAGTTCTAGTTCAGTTCTAGTTCAGTTCTAGTTCAGTTCTAGTTCAGTTCTAGTTCAGTTCTAGTTCAGTTCTAGTTCAGTTCTAGTTTAGTCTAGTTCAGTCTAGTTCAGTTCTAGTTCAGTTCTAGTTCAGTCTAGTTCAGTTCTAGTTTCAGTTCTAGTTCAGTTCTAGTTCAGTTCTAGTTCAGTTCTAGTTCAGTTCTAGTTCAGTTCTAGTTCAGTTCTAGTTCAGTTCTAGTTCAGTTCTAGTTCAGTTCTAGTTCAGTTCTAGTTCAGTTCTAGTTCAGTTCTAGTTCAGTTCTAGTTCAGTTCTAGTTCAGTTCTAGTTCAGTTCTAGTTCAGTTCTAGTTCAGTTCTAGTTCAGTTCTAGTTCAGTTCTAGTTCAGTTCTAGTTCAGTTCTAGTTCAGTTCTAGTTCAGTTCTAGTTCAGTTCTAGTTCAGTTCTAGTTCAGTTCTAGTTCAGTTCTAGTTCAGTTCTAGTTCAGTTCTAGTTCAGTTCTAGTTCAGTTCTAGTTCAGTTCTAGTTCAGTTCTAGTTCAGTTCTAGTTCAGTTCTAGTTCAGTTCTAGTTCAGTTCTAGTTCAGTTCTAGTTCAGTTCTAGTTCAGTTCTAGTTCAGTTCTAGTTCAGTTCTAGTTCAGTTCTAGTTCAGTTCTAGTTCAGTTCTAGTTCAGTTCTAGTTCAGTTCTAGTTCAGTTCTAGTTCAGTTCTAGTTCAGTTCTAGTTCAGTTCTAGTTCTAGTTCAGTTCTAGTTCAGTTCTAGTTCAGTTCTAGTTCAGTTCTAGTTCAGTTCTAGTTCAGTTCTAGTTCAGTTCTAGTTCAGTTCTAGTTCAGTTCTAGTTCAGTTCTAGTTCAGTTCTAGTTCAGTTCTAGTTCAGTTCTAGTTCAGTTCTAGTTCAGTTCTAGTTCAGTTCTAGTTCAGTTCAGTTCTAGTTCAGTTCTAGTTCAGTTCTAGTTCAGTTCTAGTTCAGTTCTAGTTCAGTTCTAGTTCAGTTCTAGTTCAGTTCTAGTTCAGTTCTAGTTCAGTTCTAGTTCAGTTCTAGTTCAGTTCTAGTTCAGTTCTAGTTCAGTTCTAGTTCAGTTCTAGTTCAGTTCTAGTTCAGTTCTAGTTCAGTTCTAGTTCAGTTCTAGTTCAGTCCTAGTGCAGTTCTAGTTCAGTTCTAGTTCAGTTCTAGTTCAGTCCTGGTGCAGTCCTAGTTCAGTTCTAGTTCAGTTCCAGTTCACTTCTAGTTAAGTTCTAGTTTAGTGCTAGTTCAGTAGTACAGTTCTAGTTGAAAGTAGTTCCACTTACCTTTAATTCTTAATGCTACTGTAGGTTCACGTGGCAAATTGAAGCCGCCCTCCTCGAGCGATGGTGACGATACCATACTACTCATTATAATACCATCCTCCAGCTGTACTTTACCAGCTGCACCCGATATACTACCACCCAAACGATATAGTGGTATCTGTTGTTGATATGCTGACTGTGACGTTTGCTGCTGTGGTACTGGATCGCCTGGTAATGCTGGTGGTGCGACTTTTGTTATCTTTTTAGCTTGTGCGTGTGGTTTCAATGAACGATGCATGATCGCAATAACAACCACAATGAAATTGTGTTGTATTTAAGGATGTTGAAAAGAGATTTATATTTTGTATATGATCCTGTAAAGAGAAAGATATAGAGGAAAATGATTGATTTGATTTAAAATAAATTTGGTTTTAGTTTAAAATAAGGTTTATTATTATCATATCAATTAATTTTTGGTAACCTAATGGGGCAGAAATGCATCATCTCAACCCACATAGTTACCTAAGGTTTTACTTTAACATTATCTGGAGACATGTCCATGTTAATTACCATCATCTTAAGTATTAAATCTAGCTGTTACAAATATTATTTTTTTTGTCTTTCATGATGGAAAGTACTTATTTAGAAATCTTTTTTAACAATGAAATGTTAAACGGAAACACACCCATGTCTATGGCTGGTTTATTCGCCTTTAAATTTTTATTTTGGGATTTACTTTATAGAAAAAAGTATTTCTTTTTTTAATCAAGCTTAACATTTAAATGTTAAAAAACCCACAAAAGGTCATATTACAATTTCATTGAAGAAAAAAATTTTATAAAAAGCAAAAAAAAAATATCAATAAATTTGTAGGTTTCTATGATTTTAAATAGATTTTACTACATCTATGGTGTCAGAGAAAAAGAGAGGAAAAAAAGATTAAGAGTCAAAATAGAAATACAGAGAAAGAGTGTGTAGGTCGGTTGTATTTTAAAGGAAGATGCCAGATGAAGTTATTTGTTGGGAATTTTCAAATTTAGAACAACATAAGCATATTATAGAGTCTAAACTGAAGTCTACTCTTTAGTCTAGATTAGAGTTTATACTATAATCTGGGCAAAAGTCTGGCAACACGTTATTTTCAATCAAAAGGCTGCTGCACACTCACATCACAATAAAAAACCATTAAATGTCAAAACAATTATAGTAAAAGCAACAAAAATAGTACAAATATATTGCAACCGAAAAAAGCACTTATACTAAAATCTGACTAAAAGTAGAGTAAAACATTATACATTAGATTTTTCTTGTTGCATTTGTAGTTATTTAACTACAAAATAAGAGTATCAAGTTAGTGTACATACGAAAATAGTTTAAGAGAAAAACTATACACCATTTTGTAAGAGTGCCTGATAGTGGGGTAAAAATGCAAAGTTCAAAAGTTAATAAAATTGCAATATTATATACTACAAAGAAAATTTGTTTTAGTATTTCTGTTGTTTTTTTTTTTTTTTTCAATATTTTTGCAAGATGTGTTGGTGGCAGTAGTCGTAGTAGTGGGAGGTTAAAGCAAAGAAATTTTCTTTGCAAAAGGTTAAAGTTCGAGGAATCTTTTATGTGTTAAATTAAATACATTAGTTATATATAATAAGAATAAAGTGCTAACTAGACGTAGGAGTTTAGGTGTTTAAATGTTAAAATGTTTTTATAATTGATAGTTTAATAGTATCTTTAAAAGGTTAAATAATGTGTGATTAAATACTATATCAGTGAGAGTCTCCATAGTCCAGACTATAGGCTATTCTATAGTCCAGACTATAGGCTATTCTATAGCAGAGGTATAGACTATACTATAGTCCAGGTATAGACTATACTATAGTCCAGGCTATAGACTATACTATAGTCCAGACTATAGACTATACTATAGTCCAGGTATAGACTATACTATAGTCCAGGTATAGACTATACTATAGTCCAGGCTATAGACTATACTATAGTCCAGGCTATAGACTATACTATAGTCCAGACTATAGACTATACTATAGTCCAGACTATAGACTATACTATAGTCCAGACTATAGACTATTCTAAAGGCCTGACTATAGACTATTCTATAGTCCTGACTATAGACTATTCTATAGTACAGACTATAGACTATTCTGTGGTACAGACTATAGACTATTCTGTGGTACAGACTATAGACTATTCTATGGTACATACTATAGATTATTCTATAGTCCAGACTATAGACTATTCTATAGTCCAGACTATAGACTATTCTATAGTCCAGACTATAGACTATTCTATAGTCCAGACTATAGACTATTCTATAGTCCAGACTATAGACTATTCTATAGTCCAGACTATAGACTATTCTATAGTCCAGACTATAGACTATTCTATAGTCCAGACTATAGACTATTCTATAGTCCAGACTATAGACTATTCTATAGTCCAGACTATAGACTATTCTATAGTCCAGACTACAGACTATTCTATAGTCCAGACTATAGACCATTCTATAGTCCAGACTATAGACTACTCTATAGTCCAGACTATAGACTATTCTATAGTCCAGACTATAGACTATTCTATAGTCCAGACTATAGACTATTCTATAGTCCAGACTATAGACTATTCTATAGTCCAGACTATAGACTATTCTATAGTCCAGACTATAGACTATTCTATAGTCCAGACTATAGACTATTCTATAGTCCAGACTATAGACTATTCTATAGTCCAGACTATAGACTATTCTATAGTCCAGACTATAGACTATTCTATAGTCCAGACTATAGACTATTCTATAGTCCAGACTACAGACTATTCTATAGTCCAGACTATAGACTATTCTATAGTCCAGACTATAGACTATTCTATAGTCCAGACTATAGACTATTCTATAGTCCAGACTATAGACTATTCTATAGTCCAGACTATAGACTATTCTATAGTCCAGACTATAGACTATTCTATAGTCCAGACTATAGACTATTCTATAGTCCAGACTATAGACTATTCTATAGTCCAGACTATAGACTATTCTATGGTACAGACTATATACTATTCTATGGTAAAGACTATAGACTATTCTATAGTCCAGACTATAGACTATTCTATAGTCCAGACTATAGACTATTCTATAGTACAGACTATAGACTATTCTATGGTACAGACTATATACTATTCTATGGTAAAGACTATAGACTATTCTATAGTCCAGACTATAGACTATTCTATAGTCCAGACTATAGACTATTCTATAGTCCAGACTATAGACTATTCTATAGTCCAGACTATAGACTATTCTATAGTACAGCCTATAGACTATTCTATAGTCCAGCCTATGGATTATTCTATAGTCCAGCCTATAGACTATTCTATAGTCCAGACTATAGACTATTCTATAGTCTTTACTATAGACTATTCTATAGTCTTTACTATAGACTATTCTATAGTCCAGACAATAGACTATTCTATAGTCCAGACTATAGACTATTCTATAGTCCAGACTATAGACTATTCTATAGTCCAGACTATATACTATTCTATAGTCCAGACTATAGAATATTCTATAGTCCAGACTATAGACTATTCTATAGTACAGACTATAGACTATTCTATGGTACAGACTATATACTATTCTATGGTAAAGACTATAGACTATTCTATAGTCCAGACTATAGACTATTCTATAGTCCAGACTATAGACTATTCTATAGTCCAGACTATAGACTATTCTATAGTCCAGCCTATAGACTATTCTATAGTCCAGCCTATGGATTATTCTATAGTCCAGACTATAGACTATTCTATAGTCCAGACTATAGACTATTCTATAGTCCAGACTATAGACTATTCTATAGTCCAGACTATAGATTATTCTATAGTCCAGACTATAGACTATTCTGTAGTCCAGACTATAGACTATTCCATAGTCCAGACTATAGACTATTCCATAGTCCAGACTATAGACTATTCCATAGTCCAGCCTATTCTATAGTCCACGCTATAGAATATTCTATAGCCCACGCTATAGAATATTCTATAGTCCACTCTATAGGCTATTCTATAGTCCACTCTATAGGCTATTCTATAGTCCAGACTATAGACTATTCTATAGTCCAGACTATAGACTATTCTATAGTCCAGACTATAGACTATTCTATAGTCCAGACTATAGACTATTCTATAGTCCAGACTATAGACTATTCTAATAGTCTATAGTCCAGACTATAGACTATTCTATAGTCCAGACTACAGACTATTCTATAGTCCAGACTATAGACTATTCTATAGTCCAGACTATAGACTATTCTATAGTCCACAATATAGACTATTCTATAGTCCACGCTACAGAATATACTATAGTTCACACTATAGATTATTCTGTAGTCCAGACTATGAACTATTCTATATGACCAGACTATACTCTATAATATAGTCTAGACTATATATGGACTATTCTATTTTATTTCATATTAAAAACCTTTGAATAATTACTCACATTTCCTCAACCCCCCTATTTTTTCACTTAACCTCTAACATAATCATTGTTCCAATTAATTTCCTGCCTATATAAAGTTAATTGATTTAAGCCACAAAATGAATTATGTGTATTTATTCCGGCATTTTCGAAACTATTTTGGCAAATTAATGTTGCAAAATATGTATCCTTTGCAGTCTTTAAGATTGATGACTTCATTGAAACGTTTGCAAAATCTTTAGCTCACTTTCCTTCCATTAAACAGCTTTAATTTATAGCTTTCATCCTATAAATAGTTTATTTCCCCTTTAAAGTGATTTTATTTAAACGTTTTATAGTCATTGACTTTGTACATTAAATGAGTCTCTATATAAAGGACAAAAAAATAAGCGAAAAAACAAGTAGAAATAGACAAAAAAGCGATTAATTCTAAAAGGCAAATTAATTTTTTTTCTGTTGCCAACAGATAAAAGGGATGATGATACAATAATAGCACAAGTACGATAATTTAAATACAATAGCTGAAACTGAAAAGTTTAATGTTACAGTCAAAGTGATTAAAGACAAAGGAATAGCATTCTATAGAATTGAATAAGTTAGAGTTTTTAGTCTTTATATTACCCAATAAATTGTTACAATTTTTAACTAGAAAATGTACCAGTTTTCAATTTCATGGCTTTATTCTTAACCCTGCTTAAGAGCAGCCAAAAAAAAAAAAAAAACTACTATTATGTTGTAGTGACTAAGTAGTGTTAGGGTGTGAGTGAGTAGAAATTTTAAAACAGCCACCCTCTTTCTCTTTCATCTTAAATACCACCCCATAATCATCACGTTTTACTTAAATGATAATTATTTTTAGATTTTTATAGTCTATCCAGCCATCCC